AGTGCTAGAGTTAGAGGGTCAAATAAAGATTTTTGAACAAACCTTGAATTTTGCAGATTTCAGGCCACTGTTTCTGCTCCATGAGCGCAGCCTTCAGTTTGGAGCAAAAGGTCACATGATCGACATAATCCAGCATGATGTGGACCATGTTTCCCGAGAGATGCTTGAGCCACGAGACAGAGATGACCTCACAGAACTACAGTGAGAGGAAAAGAGCGTTCAAGACACACGCCAGAAACATTGAACGCCAAACGTCAGACACGAACTCACCAGCGTGTCTTTAATGACGGTGTCACTCCAGCCCTCGTAACCCTGCGGGACGTGCGATCCCTCCCCATATGGACAGTCAAAGCATCGCTCCACGTCATATCCGTAGTTACACAGCATCCGCAGCACCACCTCGTCCTTCAGCGCGTACTGTAAGGCCGACGGGAAGTGTGTGGTGTTCACTCTGCAGTAGTAATTGACGTTGGATCCGTAGCGAAGCAGCAGGTTGATCAGCTCGTAGTTTCCCAGCCGCAGCGCCACCTGCAGGCACTTGACGGGGTCCTGGTTGGGCATCGCTCCGCCCTCCAGCAGCACTCGGGTGGAGGCGACGTCGTCGTTGGAGACGGCAAAGTAGAGCGCGGATTGGCGCTTGTCGTCATAGCTGCGACGCACCCATGGGTGCAGCATGAAGTTGGGGTCATAATGGGCGTTTAGCAGCATCTCCAGACACTGAGTGTGTCCACCCGCCGCCGCCGAGTGAAGAGGACTGATCCCACTGTCATCCACTGCATCCCACGACGTCACGGGAATCAGCAGAGCCAGAGCCCTGTGGACCATAAACCATTTCATTACTTGAAATGAAATAAACATTAACTGAAATATACAGTAAATACAGTTGTGGCCAAATTATCTGAACACTAGCTCTTTTCATCAGTTAAAAAAATGGTTTTAAGTCAGTTATTTCTATCTTTTGCTGTAGTGTGTCAGAAACCTTCAAGAAACCTACCTGCAAAGCTACAGTACTGTTAAAAGTTTTAGGCACTTGCTGTAAAATGAGGATGCTGTCAAAAATAATGTCATAAATAGATTTTCTATGAGTATTATAATGCATTTGACGTTTGTTTAGAATTATCTGTGACCCTGCAGCACAAAAGCAGTGTTAAGTCGCTGGGGTATATTTGTAGCAATAGCCAAAAATACATTGTATGGGTCAAAATTATTGATTTTTCTTTTATGCCAAAAATCATTAGGATATTAAGTAAAGATCGTGTTCCATGAAGATATTTTGTAAATGTCCTACCATAAATATATCAAAACTTCATTATTGATTAGTAATATGCATTGCTAAGAACTTCATTTGGACAACTTTAAAGATGATTTTCTCAATATTTTTTTTGCACCCTCAGATTCCAGATTTTCAAATAGTTGTATCTCAGCCAAATATTGTCCAATCCTAACAAACCATACATCTATGGAAAGCTTATTTATTCATAAAAAACTGACCCTTATGACTGGTTTTGTGGTCCAGGGTCACATTTAACTTCTGTAATGATGCAAGTTTTATCAAAAACACCTATGAATGATTTGGTGATAATGCTTTTACGAAATAAATGCTGTTCTTTGAAACTTCATTCATGTGACACTGAAGATTGGTGTAATGATGCTAAAAATTCAGCATCGCATTACAAAAATATAAGATATGTATTAGAACAGTTATTTTATTTTTTAATAATATTACAAAATGTTACTGTTTTACTGTATGTTTAAATGCAGAAGAATGCAGCTTTGATGAGCCTTTTCAGAAACATTAAATAATCATAATCATTATCAAGCAAAGCAGCGTATAGTATGCACTGGTAATACATACATCAAATTGAAATATTTAAAACATTTCACTTTTAGTTTATTTAGAAAGTTTAAGCCTGGACTAAATCTGCTTGTTTAGCAAAGAACCCAATACGAAGGCTTCACCATGCTTCATCACATTCATTGTCATGCAGTATGTAGCACTAACTTCCCGTGTCCGTGGTGGGCCACTCTGTGGATGGGCAGGTGTCCCGTGCGTTTGGGGATGTTGGCATCAGCGCCGTACTCCAGCAGTAAGGAGATGACGTCAGGGTTTCCTGAAGCAGACGCCTCAAACAGTATTGTTGCACGATCCTGAGCCTGAGACTCCACATTAGCACCTGAACACAACACTATTTACACTCACAGCACAGCAACAGAAATTATTCTCAAATGCATTGCATTAAAGTCACTTCAAACCACAAGCCCAAGACAATAGAAAAAACCCCACAAAATATTAGATAGTTACAAGATTTCATGTGATATTTACAGTTTTTATT